GGGCCACCCCGCTCTGACACACGCTGTGATTGCTGCCAAAAGACTCACTGACCTTTTCCCGAGGATTCAGTGCAGCCCGGTTCCTCCAAGCCGAGGGAGAGACTCCCAGCGTGCCTGAGTGTGCGTGAGTGTGTGCATGCGTGCGTGGGTGTGTGCTGGCCGGCAGGACTGTGTGAGGCAATGGGCAGAATAAAGGCAATAAGAATTTTACCGGCGTTTCTTTTGCTCGATCGTGCTCTCGCTGGACAGGCCCGGCTGCCTACAGCTTCACCGCCCACCACAGTCCTCCTCTTTCTACAAGCTGGCCCCCAGCAGCTCCGTGCCCCTTTCTGCTCCCTTTCTGCTCCCTGCTCCTCTTGCTGCCATGTATCCCAGGCAGCGATGCTGCACCCACCCTGCGGTGCCCGGGGACCCAGAGCACTCCCCTGGGGGTGCATAGGGTGGAGGTTACTGATCCCGGAGCAGAGCCAGCTGTGGAACAGTCTAGTGCGCTCCAAGAGGCTCACTGCGGTTCTCTTCCCCCATCCCTCCCTCCAGTCAAGCCGGAGCTGTGGGAACCCAAGCCAGTGTGCAAATCACACAGGGAGCAGCCGTGCTCACTGCTGGGGGGGCCTCGCAGCCTGAGGGCTTCTCCCCGCAGCGCCGGCTGGCCCTCCTCTGCTTTCCCCAGGCAGGAGTGCTGCAACCGCTACCAGCACCCCTAAATCACCGGCCTCGCTCCTCTCTGAAATGGCAGCAACTGAGCCAGGTGGGACTGCAGCACGGTGAGCAGCAAGGTAACCCCTCTGCGGGCTGTTGTCCCTGGGGGATTGAGGCTGGGGGCTCCCCATCCCCTCAGCCCAGGGGGAATTGTTCCTTAGTTGCCAAGCGGGCCCTCCAGTTACTTGTGCTAGGGGATTTCCAGGTCCTAACACCTCCTTCCTGGTTCCCTTAACAGGGCTGCTTTGCTAGTGGTGCAGAGGGGAAGGCAGGTGCTCCCCAAATGGGGGGTGCACCCCTGCGCTCCCCCCATGCTCAGCCCTGCTCCCCTTCTGCCCCAGCTGGCTGACCAGGTGCTGTTACTCCCTTTCCCCTGGAAGTCGTTTGCCCTTGGGTTTCTCATTAACCCTGGCCTCCTCCCCAGAGAATAGTAAACAAGGCCAGGAGGGCGGCTGGCAGCAGGTTCCGTGCTGGGCAACGGGCTCCCAGTGTCCCCCCATCCCTCTGTGGGGCGTATCCGGGATGCTGACTGCCTGGGACACTGCATCCCTTTTTCCCTGGGGTATCCCAGCCATGCCCACCCCAGCTTGCTTCCAGTCCTCACTGAACCCCTTCTCCACCATGGTGGGATCCTGAACAGCAGCGCTGGGCAGAGCTCCCCCCCGCCACCTTCCCGGGTCAAGCAAACCAACCTGCTGTTGGGAGGCTTTTAAGAGCAGATGACCAAATAGACATCAGAGCCCAGTTTGGGCTTGCTGACCCTCTCAGCCACCGTGGCTGGAAGCGTCGTGGGGCTCAGCAGCTGCCCCTGCCACCTGTGCTCTCCCAGCCCTCATGCTGCAAGGTTTGGGGTCCCACCAGCCCCTGTGCATCCTAGGCACCCCCACCTCAACCCTCCACCTTAGCCTGGCTTCACTTTGGGGAGGTTTCTACTCATTTTAAGCAGTGAAACCACAACAAAATCCTTCTGTGCCCATCCTGCTCCCATGGGGCAGGACTCGGCACCCCTGCAGCCGACCCCAGGTCTCCCCCCAGGCTCCACCCCCCTACCCTGCCTGGTTTGCACCCAGGGCCTCTTCACGTACTGTACCTGCCACCTCCCTTCCCACACAGATATTTGCAGGGGGAAAGCTGTGTTTGAGGGCGAAAGGAAGGCAACAGCCAAGCACAGCAGCAAGGGAAATTAATGCGAGCGTGCATTTGTAAAAATATTTTTTAACGGAAAGACTTTTTTTCAATTAAATTATTTAAGGAATTTTATGGAGGTCTGTGGTGCCTGTGTAGTTTTTGGGGGCTCTGGGTGGCAGGGAGCCCTGTACTCTGTTGCAGGGAGCATATTTGGGCACTTGTGTGTGGCAGCAGGTCCATGGCAGTGAGCAGGAGGCACTTGGCCCCACATGGGTGCAAGTCCAGTGTGAGCCTTCCCAAAGATGCTCCATGCTACCTCCCGGGAAGCCAGCGGCTGAGGACCTTTTAGGGGCTGAGGGGAGCAGGAGGTGCTCCCCAGGTGAGCCACCAGCCCTCGGGTGCCGCTGCGGGAACGTTGGGGCAGCGGGGATGGGGAGAGCATGGGGTGGCCCTTTCTGGGGACCATAGCGGCCAGTCTTGAGAGTGGGGGGTAAGGCGAGCCCTGCCTGCACCCTGCCTGAGCTCTGCCTGCACCCTGTGCTTCCCCCCCTTTCAGCCTGTGCAAAAGAGCCTTTTGTGCTGCTGGTTTTTTTTTTTCCCCCTTTTAATTCCTAACCAAGAGATTAAGGGAAGACAAAGGCTACGATTGTTCCTGCTCTGCAGAGAGCTGGAAAGTCTGGGGAGGGGGGACCATCCCTTTCCAGACAGGCCCAGAGGAGGGGGACGCGTGGCCCAGGTGGAGGGGCCGGGATGGGGGGGACACCCTGGGAGCATCAGTGGGGGGTCCCAGGGGCACAGCCGGGGTGAAGGCACAGCGGATGCCATGGGGGGACCCCGCTGGGGTGGGCCAAGGGCTGAGGGCTCAGGAGGGTGGGAGGCTCTCCACAGCAGAGGAGGAGGAGGAAGGCTAGGGATGATGGGTTGGCCAGCTCGGCGGCTGCTTGGCGTTTTCCCTGCTAACTCTTGGCTGACACCTCGACGACTTGGCAGGGAGAGGATCCC